AAGTATTCTATTTAAATATAAGTAATCTAAATATAAGTAATCTATTTAAAACCTACACCCATCTTGACGAGAAAACCACTGGAATTAGCAATGAGAAATTCAACTATGAGAAGCTCAGCTTTCTAATTCTCCCCAAATATTAAAAAGAGTTCAGAAACAAGAACTAAGCGGGTGGATATTTAAATTGGAGAGTCTTTTGGTTCTGAGATTCCCTTTCACAAAGTCTGAACACCTGTGGCCCTACAGAACTATTTTAGTTAGGTGTATTTTCTGTTCATCCTGAGGTTCTCCAGTAACTCGATAGTCTACCCCAGTAATTGGTTCAGGATTCTATAATCCTAATGGCAAAGAAGTCCTACCACAGTCTATAACAGAGATATTGTTTTCTGGATTTGATAATATCATGCATCCCCTGGTATTTTTACAAGAGAAGAAGGTATAACAGGGACACCTATTGCTGTCAAGTTCTTTTCCTAGCAGGTTGTGCCAAACTTGTCTCTCCATGGGTAATTTGCTCCTAAGCATATGCTTTTCTAATAATCTCCATTGACCCATTTTTATAATATTATCCTTCAAATGTTATGTCATTGCAACTGTTAAAATTACTACTAAACAAAGTATGAGAGAATTTGGTTTATATACTGAATGTTTTCCTACAAGTTACCAAGGGAGATGCTGGATAAAGCAGTTCACTCCTCTAAGCTTTACTGTCCAGGGGACTCTGGGAAGTAAGAACTTCATTCCTTGGAGCCGATGCCAAGTTTTTAGAACTACCTAATTGTCACACATCTTTATAAATGTGTATCTTTTAAACTAAGATAAAATTTGCATGGCATATAATTCAATCTTTTTTAAGTGTATAATTCAGTGCTTTTTAGTATATTCACAAAGTTGTACAGCTATATGACCATCTAGTTCCAGAACATTTTCATCACTCCAAAAGAAACCTCTCACTGATAAATAGTTCCTTTTCACTCTGCCTTTCCCCAGCCTCTGGCAACCACTAATCTACTCTTTGTCCTAGTGGATTTGCCTATTCTGGACATTTCATATAAATGGAATCATACAATATGTGGTCTGGATTCTTTGTGTCTGGATTCTTTCACTCAGCATGTATTCAAGGTTGTAGCAAGTACTAGTATATCATTCTTTTCTATGGCTAATATTCCATTGTATAGAAATGCCTCATTTTGTTTATCCATTCATCAGGTGATGAACATTTGGTTTGTTCTCACCAGGTATTTATGAATGATGCTGTGTTGAACATTTATGTTCAAATCTTTGTATGAAATAAGTTGTCAGTTATTTGGGGTATATACCTAAGAGGTGGAATTGCTGGATACCCAGGAATTTCATTTTTAACTTTGCTGAGAAATTCAGGAGGTATCTTAATATTATACAGGCAAGCCACACAGCCATTACCAGCTCATCCAAAGAAAATGTTATTTTCACCAACATCAAAAGGCTTTCTGTAAACAATCAGGATAACCTCCATTAATTACCAAATTCCCTGTGTCTGGTCACTCCAACATTAAAATAAATTAGTCTTATCTGATACAAGTGGTTTCCTGGTAGTTTATGCTTTTCTGGATGCTTCTAAACTGAGTGAAGATGTATCTGAGAATTGTCAAGGCACACAGGGTGCATTGATGGAGACACTGATGATGAAGGACAGTTAGTTACAGGTTAGTTAGTTACAGGCAGGTATTTTGGGCAGCTTTGGGTTCAACTGTCATATCCTAGGCATCAGTCAATTAAGTCCAAAATCTAGACATGTTTAGTAGATTGAAAGACTGAGTCTCTAGACCAAGAATTGGTAAACTACAGTCCATTCAAATTCAGCCGCCAAATCTTATTCTTTTTTTTTTTAAGTCTGTGGGATGAGAATGATTTGGAGAATGATTTATTAAATAACTATAGCTAGTGAAAGTACTTATGTAACATCCTCAATTTTCTTCTTAGCTCAAAGCCTAAGATATTTACTATCAATCCTTTAAGAAAAAGTTTGCTGACCCCTGCTCTAGATGATACTCACGCAAATTAAAGATCAATGAATCAAACAGAGTGCCAATTTATCAATTTATCACTAAAGATGTCCTTTATAGGTGACCAGAAACCACGAGAACTAAGATATCAAGGACCCAGGAGTTTACTCAGAAAACTGGTAAACATAGAGAATCCAAATAGGAAAAAGGTCATGTGTGTACATTGGACATGTTGAGATATATTGCTGAAACTCGGGAAAATTCCAACAAAATATTCATTCTTCCCAAAAGACAGCACCTCACTAGCAACTTGGTGGCTTGCTTCCCCTGTCCAGTTTGTTTCACCTGAAGAATGCTACACTTCCTACATTAGCATATTTGACTTCACTGAATCCACCACCCCAGCCACATCTCTTCCCCGCTTATTCTTTTCTCTTCCCCGCTTATTCTTTTCTCTTCCCAAGTGTCAACAGCAAATCAGTATTCACTTGGGCTTGTAGGAACACTGTTTCCTCCTATTATGCACTGATTACATTACACAACACTCAACTCTGAATATACATCATGATTCTTGCTTGCAAGACATCAAACTTAAACCTACTAATGGGTGATTGATTATGATAAATCGACTTATTTGATGTATTCTTTATCAACCTGAGTCTTTTCTCCCTTCCCACTAGCTTCTCAAAAAAGTAATAACTGTGGACTGGAATGACACACATCAATTCTTCAATTTCATTCCAAAATGCAACATACCCAAATGATCTTAATCTCTTCTATTTTTCCGCAGACTCAAAATCATCCGCTTCTGTTGACCTTCCAATCTTTCACACAATGAGAAGTTAATCTGTTTGCATTTTATCTCTTCAATGAAAATGAAAAGCTTCTGCTTTTCCCCACATTTCCATCATTGACTTTTCCTTCCTCTCAGTTCCACATAAGCCATGGAGCCTCTTTTACTTGATGCGGAGTGGAGGGTTTGGGGGATTTGGGGGACTAGAACACTTCAGGTCCTTCTTACTAGTTTTAATCTTCCCATTGTTGTTTTAACTTGATTCTTCTATTTCAACATCCTTAACAGTCCTGCCAAATTACCCCTTTTCAAAACTTTCCAATTAGACCTCCAGCTCTCTGAAGAGCTCAGGCCTCAGCAAAAATAGCCACTTCTCCTTCGCTGTCCTTCCCATATGCCTAATCCCATCAGTCAATTCCTGAGCTTCTTTTTGAACAACAGCCATCTTTGAGAGAGCTGGAGCAAAGAATTCCATTATTGTGACAATGTGTTAGTCTACATCTCCCCAGTATTTAAATAAGATAGGTGGAAAAGTTAAAGACTTACAGATAAGAAACTTCTCTTCACATTCTTTTAAAATGTCATTTCAACCTCCAGTTCAACCAAGGCTTGAGTTTAAAATACCACACAAATATTCTCTCTCTCTCTCTCTCTCTCTCTCTCTCTCTCTCTCTCTCTCTCACACACACACACACACACACACACACACAGCAGAAATTTCATTCCAATAACAAATTATTGATAACACGCCAAACCTACTATTTGACCCTCAAACCATCTTGACACTTCTATGTAGTACAAAATTCTCTATGTCAATATGATCATAAGCTTTCAAAAATTCTCTTCCCAACATATTCTACTTTTAGAGAGCTTCTAAGAAAAAAAAATCTATGTATGTAAGACCCCAAGGACATAAGATGCAACTCTTTATTTTTAATACTGGGAGTAGAAAAACATTACAACAAGGGACATTCACAATTATATGGCAGACTGTACTTAAATCAAAAGATCTTTACAACCTATGTGATACATCTATTCTTTTGCAAATTACTTGGGAGTGACCTTGCCTAAGGGCAAAGAGATAATCTAAATGATTTCTATATTCCTCTTTAAGGGCCTTGAGTTTCCTTTCATCATCATCTCAAAAAATAACCAACTATTGCTCTGGGGTCTAGCCACCAGTCACCACACAGAACTTTCTCGAACCATGAAAAGTATAGATGTACAAACCTATTAGATGTTCTTTCAGCTAAATGATCAATTTTGAAGGAAAAGTCAATTACTCTCAGAAACTGGGAGGTGGGGACAGCAGCAGGGAATCAAATCCACAGCAGATAGAAATTTCTAAAGTGTCAAACAGCAGCCAAACTCTATCTGGGCTATTCATTCTACTTCTGGTGGTGAAAGCCAGTCCTTTCCCAGCTCACGACTGGCATTCCCTTTCGTTACTTAGGGTTCAGGCAATCAGTCAACACGCGATGCGACGGGCAGGAAGCTGCTGGAAAGAGAGCATGTTTCTAGCTCTCGCCTGTGGACGGTCTGTGCCTCGCTCCAGAACGTTTTCTACAGATGCTGCCAGCAGACACTCTGTAATACCTAAACCACAAATCATCACATTCCCCATCCTTTGAGCCAGGGCCTGTGTCCTTGAGCTCCCTACATAGCACAGATATTGACCAAGCTGGCCACTGATACAATAGTCCTTTACAAATGCAAAGTAGAATTTGCCATGCCATCTGCTTGATACACCAAAAAGGAGGTGGACCTAATAACATAAAAATATCCACTGCAGGCAAACCTCAGACAGTAAAGCAGGACACTTCTCAGACATTTTGCCAGGAACGAATCTTGGCTAGCTTACTAAAGAAAACATTCATCAATGTAAACATGTCAGATGTACAACTGTACCCAAAATTAGAGAAAATATGTCTCTGAAAAGGAGACATCTTGCAGAAACAGAATCACAGGCAGGCCACTTTAGACTTTTTTTTTTTTTTTTTTCCCAAAATCTAAGGAAACTGTCTTTCCTCAGAATAAGGAAGCCATGCTAAATAGCTCTTGTCTGGTTGTTTTAGGAACCAATGTGGGGTTTTTTGGTTTTTTTTTTTTTTAATGACTTGAATTTTATCGACTGTGACACATTAAATCCAGCTAAACACAAGAAAGTGTTTCCAAACTGTGAAACTATAACTTAGGTAAAGGGCTGACTGGACAATACTCACACTGAAAAGGTGAGGCAAGGTGGTCCTGCCCATATCTTAGTGGGAATGAAGCATCCGTGGACTGCTCTCCCGAAATCATCTTCTGAGCTGGAAAATACTTGGGCTTGAGCACATATTCCTGGGACTGGCCATGATGAATCATCACATTCTGTGAGGAAAGGGGCATCACTCTGGGAAGAAACAAAGTGAGGGTAAGAAAATAAATAATAGACTTTTTAAAAAGTCAACTAAGAAGGAAAGAACAAGAAATTAGGTACACTTAGAAAGGAGCACAAATTCCATACAAAACTCATTTGCTCCTTCAAATACTGTAACTGATCATTCATGGCATAGAAGGGAGGATTAAACGCTTCCCCTTGGAAGCTGTCTGGTCAAGAAGCTCAATGATAAACAGGTTGCCACCAAGTTCAGGACATAGCTACCATGAGCCTTCCTGCAAAATGCATAGCATTTATACTAGAGAAAAAGGATGGGAACAAATATGAAGAAGTGGGTATCAAGGGGAATAGGGAGGGGGGAAAATAAGGAGAAAGAGTAAAGGAAGGAGATGATGCAAGAAATTTCCATCTTGGTCAGTGCCTCAGTCTGGCTGGGCACAAATCACGAGCCACTGAAGCAGGAGCAAACTTTATTTCTGAACTCCACCAGCACACTCCACACACGCTCCCCGGGAACTCTCCTGAACACCACGCCGGCTCCTCCAGGAACCACCAACCAGAAATCCCTCCACCGGCACTTCCCCAACCAATGGGAACTCTTCAGGAATCCCCGCGAGAGCTCAACCGGAACTCAACGGGAACTCCTCGAGAACTCAAAAGTCATCATCTTAATGGCTGGCTGGCGTCACCTCTCAACCACTACTTCTGGCAAAAATGCCATGCGTCATCTCGACTCAGCTGTGGCCCTCAGCAGGTCAGTTTAACAAAAATCACCTAAAAACAGAGTCAGTATGGACTAGTGGGACCTTCCAATTTGCCTAATTTGGCAGGTTCTTTGGTGGATCTCTTGGAGTCTCAGTTTCCTAATCTTTTGCCCAGGATCTCTGCCACACAGGGCTGAGAGAAAGAAAATGATTATAAAAATGTGAATACACTTAAACTGAAAAAAAAAACAAAGAAAGAATAAAATAATTTGAATTCCCTTTTTAAACATAAATGATGATGGTGCCTTAGGGAAACATTTAATTTTTATGCTGTATTTTATAATGATTGGGTTAAATGGTTTATGATCACTAGTTGCTAAGAATAACTAACCAAGGCCTTGTTATCATTTCAATCACACAAGACAGGACCTGTGGGACCTTTGAACATGACTGCTCTGCTTTCACCCTCCTGGCCCACCCTTTTATCTTCTCTGACAGTTTTCTTCTACTACATCTAATATATATACTACAAAATAATAAATATTTGCCCAGATTCAGTCACTCCCTGAGGGACAGAAAGGAAATTATCATCAAAGTAAAGCTAATAAGTAGTGAAAAATGTAAAGATACAACAACTCCTTCTGGAATACGCAAAATTGCTACTAAAATTGTTAGGAAAGTGCATCTGAGCAGCAAACTGAGCCTTTGGAAGGAAACCTGCTCCCCAGCATGATCTGACCCAAAAGACTGGCCTTAAGGAGCGACTAACAGAAGAGGAAAATAACAGGACACAATGGCAGCTCAGCAAAGAGGGTAAACTGTCAAGGTGCCCAAGACACCACCCTACAGCGTCTCAACAAGCAGTAAAAGAACCTTGAAGACACTGACTGTTTGATTATCCGAGTTGGGCTAAGAAAGGAACTATCCCAAGGGACAAGTCATTAAGAACAGAGAAAGGAAAAGAAGAGTCTGGGTCAGGTTGTTTCCCTCTTCATCCAGGAGCTATACCTATCCCTTTAAACCCTCTAGTCACAGAACACCTGAAAAATTCACCTTGAGCCTGGATTTTCCCAGATGTCATGCCATGCAAGAGCACTCCCTTTGTCACCAGACTAACAACTAAATTACTAAAAGCCTAGGGCTTCACATTGTAAACACTTCTGTTTTGATGATGTAAGTGTTGTTTTGAACTTTAAGTATGTTTTGTTGGGATGGAATAGACGGTGAAACAGCTGGATACATCTGGTGGTCACAAGTCTAATCTGTCAGCCCTCGTGGAGAAGCAGAAACTCCCCCACATCTCAGAAGCAACTTGCTCTCCAACCATGCTGTCACCCTGTCACTATGTGCTATGACCCACGGAGAGGCATAGGGACCAGCTCCTGTTCAGAACAGGGGAACCCCACATTCCAGGAGACTTAGGCTGCCACAGCGAATTCCAACCCTGACCCAGGCCAGAAAGGTGAGCCTGTGGGTCTGCCTCCAAGATAAGCAAGCACCTCCTTTCTCTTCTCTCTGAATTAGCAGAAGTAGCAGGCAGCAAGAAATGAGCTGAAAATACCTGTACACTTGGGCTCCTTTTCCCTAAACATAATAGAAAGATGATAAACCAATGACTAAGACTAAGCTCTATCAGGTCAAGGGCTTGAGAACCTTCAGCCAGAACTAACCTAAGGAAATCAGAAATCAAGTCCTACAACCATGGAAATAGCCCCCAGAGTTACAAACACTTTGCAAACATGGAGCTAAACACGGCTGCCCTGTTCCCCCAACTTTTTCCTCTTTCCCCAGTGTCAGGGAATAAGTGCCATCAACAGACCCAGGCCATCTGCCTCACAGCCCCACCAAGAAAGAAGCAAAGCCAGGAGCAGATGCCCCTGGAGCAGGAAGGACAGTGGCCGTCACTCATCAGGTACACAATGAAAGGTAAACTCATCAGGGACTCCTTCCAGGCTGGCACCCACCTTTTCCTCCAATCCTATCACTTGCAGTTATTTCTACCTTGGACCTCCTCCTTGCAAATGTACATCCTCATTAAGTCTTTTCTTTTGCTTTTCTTTTATCCAACTATTTAAAAAAAAATCACCCCCCTCCTCTTTTTCTCTGTATTTAAAGTGGGATTTCCTTCTTTTTCCAATGCTTCCAGGGGGGAAAAAAGGCTTAATTATCACTAGTGAATGTCACAGTCATCATAGCAATAGAATGGGAACTTTAAGAGGGGTTAATCTTATTAAAAGAAAATTTAAACATTTAAAGTTAAAACCTCTAGTTCAAAATATTTAGGAGCACCCACATATCCCCTTTCCTCCAAAGAAGCCCTTAAAATTACAGATAAGGAAAAAGGATACAAATCCAGAGTTGATATTTGACTCTACACCACAGTAGAGTCAGCCACACCAGTGGTTTAAAATGTTAAATACTCTGTGAAGAGCAACTATCAAGCCCCTCGGTGTCCTTCCAATGGGACTTCCTTATCCAAAGCCCTCTCCCGAGACAGTCCATCAATCCTGTACAATAAAGAGTTCACTTGGGCTGGGGTTATAGCTCAGTGGTAGAGCACTTGCCTTGCAAGCATGAGGCACTGGGTTTGATACTCAGCCCCACATAAAAGTAAATAAATAAAAATATTGTGTTCATCTACAACTAAAAAAATTCAAATTAAAAAATAATAATAATTTTTAAAAAAGAGTTCACTTGACAGAGCTAGAGACCTCTGGGTTTCTGCTCCAGCACTCATTCTGATCGGTCAGATCCTGTTCCATACAGATTACTAAATAGGTTTTGATCACCCATTATTAAACAAACAAGAAGCCCTTCAACAAATGTGTAAGAGATTCAAGGTGCCCTGAGAAACACTGACTACTGAAGTGGGGTAGAAGCCCCGACTCCTCACAAAATTTTTCTAACTTCTTTTACCTCAACCCATAGTAAAAAGTACATTTTACATGAAGATCTGCACAATTTGTGATCTCACATAACCGAAACAAGTTTCACAAAACAATAGTTACCTTATAGGACACCCTGATGTTTTCTCCTCTATTTTTTAACCATCTCGAGCTGTTCTACATTTATGTCCTGACTTTATCACTCCCTACTGGGTTGCAACCAGCGGCTCAAGGACACTGGTGGAAAAATCACTCTGAGCACACAGACGTACAGGAGGTTCTTCCCAGGGACCACAGAACAGTTCTAGATGTTGAAATCATGTAAGGCAAAAGGTGATAATGAGAAGTGGGTAGTTTCTTCATTGAAGATCTATATATGAAGACACTCTAGTAGGAAAACTATTCAAAAGTCAGATTTTTATCTCCGTCAGCAGGCAAAAAAAAAAGAACAGTTTTCTCTAAAAGAATGAAATTATCTGGGATGAACCACAAAAGTTACTCCTCCTCTAGAGAAAAACTCTTGTTCTGGCATTTTGAGACCCCCTTGTATATCAACTGGTTTCACCTATGTTTCCCCTAAAAGGAATTCTGCAGGTGACCAGGAAAATGGGGAACAGAGGTGATTTAGATGGGGAAGGAAGGAAGAGAGGGGAATCATTAGAATGCAAAATATGACTGAGATTTTTGTAGATGGTTGACTCTATGGTAATAAATGTAATTGGCGGAGTTGAGAAAGGAAGAATCCATTCAAACATGATGCTAGGACATTCTCCTTCAGGAGCTACAGGGATGTTGGCAATGGGCACATTAAGAATGAGAAGAAACCCTAGCATCTTATTTGACTTTGCGCTGAGTGATACATTTACAGACAAAATAGTGCAAATGCTATAACTGTTAGAAGCAACCCAAATTAGCACCTCTGATGATAGAATCACAGAATTAGCTGGAGAAGGTTGGAAAGTCTGGAAGAGGAAGTGAAGAAGAGATTGAGAGATCCACTACCCTCGTCTTTCCACATGGAAGGTCATGGGATAACATTCATGACCTTAACAGATGATGTCCACAGAAGAACAAATCGAGGTTTAAATGCACTGTCTGCATTTGCGAAAAATGGAAAGCGATCAACGCAAAATACTGACTTTGGGATGAAGAAGGCTGGGGGACAAGGGCTCAGATAAATAAGCTCAATCTTCCCCTACAATGACAAGAAGTTTTGAGACAACATTCACAGTAAATAAATCAAGAAGTATCCATATGGAGACAACTACCAGAACAACTATAGGTCTGACAGATTCAACAAGCAAGGAGTGAGGAACCAAGGGAGAAAGTTCTAACAAGACCTGAAGCTTTCCAGTCCGAATGACTGGAAGGGTGGTTTCGGTTCAAGGCCACGGGGCAAAGTCAAATAAAGAGGTGAGCCTAC